TCGGGTTGGGCGCGGTAGGGCTTCCGGAGTCGTTGTCACGCTAGATGCCGGCGTCGGGTTCGGCGTGGTCGGCAATGGTGTCGTTGTCACCGATACAGCCGGTGTCCGGCTGGGCGTGGTAGGTTTCGGCGTTGAAGTCACCCTAGCCACCGGCGTCGGGTTAGGCGATGGTGTCTTCCGAGTCGTTGTCACGCTCGATGCCGGCGTCAGATTCGGCGTGGTCGGCATCGCAGTCGTAGTCACCCTAGCAGCCGGCGTCGGGTTGGGCGTGGTAGGTCTCGGCGTCGTAGTCACACTAGCCGCCGGCGTCGTGTTGGGCGTGGTCGGCATTGGGGTCGTTGTCGCCGATGTAGCTGGAGTCGGGATGAGCGCGGTTGGATTCGGCGTTGTAGTGACACTAGCCACCGGTGTCGGGTTGGGCGAGTGCGGTTTCGGAGTCGTTGTCACGCTAGATGCCGGTGTCGGGTTGGGCGCGGTAGGTTTCGGAGTCGTTGTCACGCTAGATGCCGGCGTCGGGCTCGGCGTGGTCGGCATTGGGGTCGTTGTCGCCAATGTAGCTGGAGTCGGGATGAGCGCGGTTGGATTCGGCGTTGTAGTGGCACTAGCCACCGGTGTCGGGTTGGGCGAGTGCGGTTTCGGAGTCGTTGTCACGCTAGATGCCGGTTTCGGGTTGGGCGCGGTAGGTTTCGGAGTCGTTGTCAAGCTAGATGCCGGCGTCGGGTTCGGCGTGGTCGGCAATGGTGTCGTTGTCACCGATACAGCCGGTGTCCGGCTGGGCGTGGTAGGTTTCGGCGTTGAAGTCACCCTAGCCACCGGCGTCGGGTTAGGCGATGGTGTCTTCCGAGTCGTTGTCACGCTCGATGCCGGCGTCGGGTTCGGCGTGGTCGGCATTGAAGTCGTTGTCACCGAAGTAGCCGGCGTCGGGTTGGGCGTGGTAGGTCTCGGCGTTGTAGTCACACTAGCCGCCGGCGTCGGGTTGGGCGATGGTGTCTTCGGAGTCATTGTCACGCTCGATGCCGGCGTCGGGTTCGGCGTGGTCGGGATTGGGGTCGTTGTCGCCAATGTAGCTGGAGTCGGGATGAGCGCGGTTGGATTCGGCGTTGTAGTGACACTAGCCACCGGTGTCGGGTTGGGCGAGTGCGGTTTCGGAGTCGTTGTCACGCTAGATGCCGGTTTCGGGTTGGGCGCGGTAGGTTTCGGAGTCGTTGTCAAGCTAGATGCCGGCGTCGGGTTCGGCGTGGTCGGCAATGGTGTCGTTGTCACCGATACAGCCGGTGTCGGGCTGGGCGTGGTAGGTTTCGGCGTTGGCGTCACCCTAGCCACCGGTGTCGGGTTGGGCGAGTGCGGTTTCGGAGTCGTTGTCACTCTAGATGCCGGCGTCGGGTTCGGCGTGGTCGGCATTGAAGTCGTTGTCACCGAAGTAGCCGGCGTCGGGTTGGGCGTGGTAGGTCTCGGCGTTGTAGTCACACTAGCCGCCGGCGTCAGGTTGGGCGATGGTGTCTTCGGAGTCATTGTCACGCTAGATGCCGGCGTCGGGTTCGGCGTGGTCGGGATTGGGGTCGTTGCCACCGATGCAGCCGGCGTCGGGTTAGGCGTGGTAGGTCTCGGCGTTGCAGTCACACTAGCCGCCGGGCGTCGGGTTGGGCAAGATCGGCTTTTGGCGTCGTTGTCACCGATGCAGCCCGGCGTCCGATTGGGCGTTGGTAGGTCTCGGCGCTGTAGTCACCCCTAGCCACTCGATGTCGGGTTGTGCCGTACCCTCGGGTTCGGTCTCCAACCCGCAGGCTTTGGAGCTTTTCCCACGAATTAAGCCATAATCCCAAAGTATTCCGCTGCCCGTAGTCCGAAGTAGTCGGAGGCTGCGGAGGCTGGACCCAAATCCGAC